GGGAAGGGGGCTCCATCTAGGTGGCCACAGAGGAGTTGTCGTCCCCACTGGGTGCAGACCTCCCAGTATGGCTGTTTTAAGGCCACCCGTGCTCCTGCCTATAACCCGCACACATTGCTCTGCGGGTATGCTCAATTAACGCATTGCTTCCTCATAGTGAACGCTAGCGGAATTGCGCCTTATTGGTTTGTCATTGGGATGTTTGGAGGAGGGGTGGACGTTGTTTAATCTCCTCCAGGGGAGGAATTTTACCAACGGCCATACTGACCCTTAAATAAGACGCTTAGGATCACTTCCCTTGATTTTTATAAAGTAGGTCCAGCTGTGGGATGATTTTAGAGTGTAAGATTTTATCTTTTGGCTAATTTCCTCTCTCTGTGTTGAGACCAGACAGTATTACAGTAAAATATTAACCTCTGTTGTTTTTGTTCTTGTTTTATTTTAGCTACTCAGGATCAGACTTATCCTAACTCTTGAGGCTTTGTAGTAGCTTGGAGTTCAAGGAAATAGAAGGCAGATTTCCCATAATGATTGATATAAAGGCAGACTTCCCATAATGATATAAAGGCAGACTTCCCGTAATGATCTTTTTTTTTGTTGTTTTTTTGTTTTTTTTTTTTTTTTTTTTCGAGACAGGGTTTCTCTGTGGCTTTGGAGCCTGTCCTGGAACTAGCTCTGTAGACCAGGCTGGTCTCGAACTCACAGAGATCCGCCTGCCTCTGCGTCCCGAGTGCTGGGATTAAAGGCGTGCGCCACCATCGCCCCTCCCGTAATGATCTTAAGGAGACAGAGGTCAGTGCTAGAAGAGTATCTAGAGTGGAGTGGAGAGGAGCATCCCCTCTGCCTACGCCAGGCCCTCAGAGAAACCCGGCAGGATGCCCTGCTTTCTGTCAACACTCTATCCCTAAGCATCTGTGGAGGCACACATGAGTACAGCCACAAAAGAATTGAAAACACCAATTTGGTGAACTAGAGACATGGCTCAGTAGTTTAGAGCACTTGTTGCTCTTGCAGGGGACCAGGGTTGGATTCTCAGCACCTATGGTGGCTCACAACCTTCCATAGCTATAGTTGCCTCCACAGACACCAGGTATGCACATGGTACACATATATACATGCAGGCAAAACACTAATACATAGGAAATAAAATGAATTAATTTTTTTTAAAGATAGAAAGAAAACACTCTCTGTGTTCCAAATGCTCTTGGACTTACTTTCCTCCAGCCAAGATATTTTGTATGTATGTGGGAGGGTGCGTAACAAAATTTTTATTAAATCTTTGAGTTTCATACAAAATTCATCTTGAATATATACCACCCTCTCCCACTCATCCCATAACTACCTTCTCTACCCTTCCACCCAACTTCAAGATATATTTTCCAAGTTAGATTTCTTTTTTTCTTTTTTTTTTTTTTTTTTTTTTTTGCTTTTTCGAGACAGGGTTTCTCTGTGGCTTTGGAGCCTGTCCTGGAACTAGCTCTGTAGACCAGGCTGGTCTCGAACTCACAGAGATCCACCTGCCTCTTCCTCCCGAGTGCTGGGATTAAAGGGGTGCGCCACCATTGCCCGGCCCAAGTTAGATTTCTATTGCTGTAATAAGACCATGGCCAAAAGCGATAGGGGAAGGAAAGGGTTTAAAGGCTTACACTTCCACATCAAGGCCCATCATTAAAGAAAGTAAGGGCAGGAACTGAAGCAGAGGCAGTGGAGGAACAATGCTTACTGGCTTCCTCCCTGTGGCTTGCTCAGCCTGCTTTCTTATATAATCCAGGACCACCTGCCTAGGAATGGCACCGCCCACGTAAACTGGATCCTCCACCAATCATTAACCCCCCCAAAAAATGCCACACAGACTTGTTTACAGGCATTGTTTACTGTGCTTCCTCCTAACTCTGTGTGGGTCAGGTTGATGAAAAAACCAGCAAAGATTCTCTCTCTCTCTCTCTTTCTCCCTCCCTCCCTTCCTCCCTTTCTCTTTTTCCCTCTCTCTCCCTCCCCGCCCCTTTTCCCCATGGAGCTCGGTGTATGTTGCCGAGCTAGTCTTGGGAATGGGACCTGCTACCAGGGGTCACATAATTAAAGAACGGACTCTCCTCATCCAGCAGCTGTCAGTGCCTGGAACGCTTCAGCTAGTGGAGAAATTTCATGGCAGCTTTACACCCCACCCCACCCCATGTTGTAATTTCATCTGGCTGGATCTTGAGAAGATCTTGTATGTGCTCTCACAATTGCTGAGTTCGTAGGTGCAGCTGCCCTGTTGTGTCTGGAAAACACTGTCTCCTTGATGTTATCAACCACCTTTGACTCAGTTACCATCTTCCCACCTCCTCCTTCCATGAAGACTCCCGAGCTTTGGAAGTAGGGATATGATACACATGTCCCATTTAGCCCTAGGCACTCCACAGTTTCTTATTTTCTGCACACTGACCAGTTAAGGGTCTCTGTGTTAATTGCCATCACTGCAAAGGGAAACTTCTCTGATGAAGGTTGAGAGATGCTCTGATCTGTGGACATAGCAATATGCCATTAGGAGTTGTTTTAACTCTAGCAGTATTAGGTTCCCTAAGGCCTGTGACCTATTTAGCCTCAGGTTCTTCTTAGTCCCTTAAGCAGTGTTAGTTATGGCTTCCATCTCACGGTGTGGGCTTTAGAACTAATCAGAAAGTGGTTGGTCACTCCCGTAGCATCTCTGTCACTATTGCACCAGTAGGTGTGTCTTGTCAGGCCAGTCATTCATTTTAGCTTGCGGGATTCACAACTGGATGAAAATGATGGTTATTTTTCTCCTTTGAAAGCAAGCATGCCCCTTCCAGTTGAGTACCAGCTTGAGTTTTTCATATTCTGTGGCTCAAGTACGTAGTATCTTCAGCAATAGGTTTTAATGTCAAGTTCTGGAATGTAACCACGGTCATTGGCAATAGCCTATAATGAATGTTTTGGGGTCTATGTGACCCCATTGCTGAACAAGATTTAAACTATACCACAGTTGCCTTTTTCTCTCTCTGAAGATAAATTCTCAGTGGAATAAGATTTCTACCCTAAGAATCTCTAAAAAAAAAAAAGAAAGAAAGAAAAAGAAAAAAAAGAAAATGAACAATAGGATGAAACAATTCTGAACTGTGAGGCTACAAGTTTGGACAAGCTATGACTTGGTGTATAAATGGCTTTGGCCTTTTTCATTTTATTTACTTATTTAGCATTTATTTTATTTTATGTGCATTTTATTTTGCCTACAAGTTTGCCTGTGTGAGGGTGTCAGATCCCTGGAAATGGAGTTACAGACAGTTGTGAGCTGCCATGTGGGTGTTGAGAAGTTAACCCTGGTCCTCTGGAAGAGCAGCCAGTGCTCTTAACCACTGAGCCATCTCTCTACCCCCTGGTCTCTTTATTCTAAATGGCCACACAGATTAGAACTACAGGTGGGTGGAGGTTTTTCCTTTGAATTTGATGCACAGGAGAAATGCTTTATTACAGAGGAATCATTTCCACACCCATAGAGGCAAGTCTGTTCAGAGTAAATGAGCAGCAAAGAATTGAGGGCAGTTAGGATATAATAGAGCAAAAGGGAAAGAACTTATCTAAGAGATCCTCCTTCCAGCAGAGAACACACTTAGCCTGGCTTTTATCATTTTAGACTGTGCTCCTGTGATGTCTCCCTTTAACCTTTGAGTTCATTGGTTTGGTATCCCAGACTTCGAGCCCTTGTCTCCTTTACTGTTATATATGTGTGTGACATATGTTCATGGAGGTCAGAGGACAACTTTCAGGAATCGTTTCTCTCTGTCCACTATGTGGTTCCTGGGGGTTGAACTCAGAAGGTCAGGTTTGACTGCAAATGCCCTTGCCCACTGTGTCAACTCCCCAGCCTGGGGACATCTTTTAAAAATTAAATCTTTGGGAAGATAACGTTGCTTATCACTGTGTGTCAAGCAGCGACCCCAACTCACTGCCTGTCTTGCAGGAGGAGCCTCATTCCCCACCAGAGGAATGATTCTTGCTTGTTTTCTGGCTAGCCAGGAGACTGTTAAGCCTGAGGTTTCTCTTGCCCCTAGGAAGCTGCTCTAGTTAAGGAAGGGAATATAGAGCAGAAGCAGTTGTAGCCTGGGCTCCATGCTCATGTTTTGTCTGGTCTGCTTGATGTTGGGTTGTGTGTAGTCATGATGATAGTGATGGTTATAATGGAGATGATAGTGATGGTAATGATGATGGTGTTGGTGGTAATGACGGTGGTGGTGGTGATGATGATGGTGATGGTAACAATGATTATAATGATGTTGGTGATGGTAATGATGGTGGTGATGATAGTGATGGTGATGATGATCGTTTTGGTGGTAATGAGATGATGGTGATGATGGTCATGATGGTGGTGGTGATGATGATAGTGATTGTAATGATGGTGGTGATGATAGTGATGGTGGTGATGGTGATGGTGATGGTAATGGTGATGGTCATGATGATGGTAATTGTGGTGATGGATGATTGTGGTGATTGCTCTCCCTTGACCAATCAGTCTGGGAAATTCTGGATATACAAAACTCAACAGGGGAATAACTTGAGATAAGATTAATATTAGGCTTTAATGGATCCCCCATTAAGCAAGAACTCCCCATGGTCTCATCTTCCTCTACATATATACCTGTGAATGGATGTGAACCACAGCAGGCTGTTCCTGCTACCAAAGTTAAACACGCTCCCAAAAAATGCAGTTTATTATGTTGTCTTACCTAAATAGATACCAGTATCACATTGTCTGGCTCATGTCCTTGACGGTGCAGTGTGGGTTAACACTGGAACATTGTCTGCGGTGTTTTTGACAGTGCAGTGTGGGTTAACACTGGAACATTGTCTGGCTCGTGTCCTTGACAGTGCAGTGTGGGTTAACACTGGAACATTGTCTGTGGTGTCCTTGACAGTGCAGTGTGGGTGAACGCTGGAACATTGTCTGGCTCGTGTCTTTGACAGTGCAGTGTGGGTGAACACTGGCTTTTCTTTCTCCACAGAACATTGATATCACCAATTTCAGCAGCAGCTGGAGCGATGGGCTGGCCCTCTGTGCTCTGCTACACACCTACCTGCCTGCCCACATCCCCTACCAGGAGCTGAACAGTCAGGAGAAAGTAAGTCACTGCCTACACCACCTCATTTCTGCTCCGGGAGAGCCAATAGAATTTCTGTAGCAATACATTTCTGTGAGGGTGGGTGGGTAGTCTGAAAGAAAATGGCCCATAAAATATTATGAGGTGTGGCTTCATTGGAATAAGTGTGGCCTTGAGGGAAGAAGTGTGTCACTGCAGAGATAAGCTTTGAGGTCTCCTGTGCTCAAGCTTCATTAAGTGTAATAAACAATTCACTTCCTGTTGCCTGAGCCTCAAGATGTAGAACTCCCAGCTCTTCTTCAACACCATGTCTGCCTGCTTACCACCATGCTGCCATGATGATAATGAACTAAACCTCTGAAACTGTAAACCAGCCCCAATTCAATGTTTTCCTTTAACTAAGTGTGGTGGCACACACCCTTAATCCCAGCAGAGGCCGGTTTCTCTGTAGCTTGGAGCCTGTCCTGGAACTAGCTCTTGTAGACCAGGCTGGCCTTGAACTCATAGAGATCTGCCTGCCTCTGTCTCCTGAGCTCAACTGCCCTTCTCAATGCATGTCATTTGTTACCAAGAAGAACAGTGAGTCTCAGTTTGGATGGTCGCTGATAGGACCCTACCACCTGCTTTCTATAGAAAACCCTGGTTTAGATGTGACCTTTATTTTTCAAAGTCTCTTCCAGTACCAAGAATGGAGCTAGAAGAGGTAGCAGAATTCCCTTCTCTTAATGAAGGTCCTGATTTTTTTTCTATTAAGCTGACAAATTAGACTTACTCATATTCCAGAGAGTTATCTGCTTTATGAAAAATCCTCCAATGTAAATGTTAATCTCATCTAACTCTGTAGACAATGCTGGCCTTGAACTCACAGAGATCTGCCAGTCTCTGCCTCCTGCATCCTGGATCAAAGGTGTGCATCATCATGTCTTGCCTAATCTCATCCTTTAAATACCTACCTAAAAGGCTGGCAAAATGGTTCAGCGGGTAAAGACACTTGCTCCCAAGCTTGACAACCTGGGTTTAATAACCAGGCCCACATGGAGAGAAGCAGCTCCCACAAGTATCCTCTGCTCTCTGCACATAAGCATTCGTGCAAACACATTCTATAAATACACACACACACACACACACACACACATACACACACATACATGATACATGTCTGGCTAAATATTTGAATACCAGCCAGGCAGTGATGGCGCATGCGTTTAATCCCTACAGTTGGTAGGTTGAGGCAGGCAGATCTCAGTGAGTTTGAGGCCAGTCTGATCTACAAAGTGAGTTCTAGGACAGAAAGGGCTACATAGAGAAACCCTGTCTTGAAAAAAAAATTTAATTCCAGACATAGCCAAGTTATCACAAAAAAATTAGCCATCACAGAGTATCTTGCAGGACTGGCAGTGTGGCTAACGGCAGAGCACTAATCCAGCATGTACCAGACCCTGGGTTCAGTTTCTAGCAATGAAAAAGTACTGTTTTCAAAGCATTTCCATGTGGAATGCCTTATAAATTGCGAAAGAGGCTGAGTAAGATCATGTAATGTTTGGGAGAAAAAAATATGTAGCGTGTCATGTTGAGTGTGAGGTGTCTAAAATATTCAAGTGTTATATTAGGCAGGCAGACAGCAAATCTGGAATTTAGATGGGAAATCAGAGCTAGAAGAATGGATGTGGGAGAAATCCATGAAGGTTCGTGTTATTTGGCAGGACTTCCTGAGATGAAGCAGTCAGTGTTCTGAATTTGCACAGCCCAATAATGTTTGAAGGGCAGCTAGAGATGGCGTGTGAAGCCGTGAAAATGAAGATGAGCCAATTCCCCTGATTTTAAGGGAACCATCTTTTTTTTTAAAAGATTTATTTATTTATTGTGTATACAACATTCTGCCTCGATGTATGCCCACATGCCAGAGGAGGGCGCCAGATCTCAGTACAGATGGTTGTGAGCCACCATGTGGTTGCTGGGAATTGAACTCAGGACCTCTGGAAGAGCAGCCAGTGCTTTTAACCTCTGAGCCATCTCTCCAGCCCTAAGGGAACCATCTTAAGCAACTTTGATAACTATAGCAAAATACCTGAGACTGTATATGCTGTTAAGAAAAGAGGTTTTTTAGAGCTTTGAGACATCCCAAATTGAGGCAGTCATGTCTGTTTGGCCTCTCATGAGGATCTTGTAGTGGGTAGGTGGTATCACAGCAGCGAAAGCATGTGTGGAAGAGGGATGCATGGTGAGGCAGGAAGCCAGAGAGATTCAGAGGCCAACTTTGCTCTTTTTATAATTTGCTCTCACAGGGAGTAATCAGCGTCCCAAGGGGACTGCATTGATCTCAGAGATTAAGATTCCCAGTCACCTGCTTTACCTCCTCCTAAAGGTTCATTTTAACACGTGTGCTGCTGGCCAAGCTTTCAGCACATGAACCTTCCAGGACACTCAAGCCCCGTCCAAGCACAGGAGAAGTACAAAGAGGACCCAGCAGAGGGAACTAGAGCCAGGTGGAGTGGGGACCGGACCGTCAGCCATCACAGAGGCCAAGGGCATAGCAGGGCATCTGATTGTCACCTAGGAACGGTTTTGATTTTCCTCTGTCTTCCTTTCTGGTGCGATATTACAAAAATAATTACGTCAATAGTGAACATAACAAATTTCAAAATAATCAGCAGACCTTCCTAAAACGACCACACACATTCTAAAATGTGAGTCTTCCTGAAAGTGACTTGTTTGTCGGTAGTCAACAGGCCTGGCTTCTTTGTCCTCAAGTCAATTCAGATCTGTTGGAAAATAATGGGTCTGCGAGTGTTTGCTCTCACAATGTATCATGAGCATTGCTTCCTAGTTACCAAAACCCTGTCTCACTCTGCATCCCTGAGACTCCTGCACCAGGCACCCGGCCAGTTGCCCAGTGGCCTTCTGTAGATGTAGAACTGTACATCAGGGCAGGCTGGCAACAGTAGTCTTGTTTCTGTTGCTCTTACAGGACAAGGGCCTCTATTTCCCATCTGGTTGAGTTTCTTTTTCTGGGTCTCTGGTGATGTCATCAAGAAATGCCAGTGGTGAAGGACCATTATAAGGCAACTAAGGAGTCAACATCATGTGCCAGGAGTGTCATATGCAAACCTGTTTGACTTCACAGCTCCCCTGTCAACTCCAGTTGAGTTTGAGTTCCAGCACCTAGGTCTGTTGGTTACCACTGGCCCACTACTCCCTGAATGAATATCTGGTCCCTTCCTGACTGCACCCTAAGTGGAGAAGCAATGGCTACTGGCTGCACCCTAAGTAGAGAAGCAATGGTTATAGCTCAGGATGTCATGAGAAGGGGTGGGGGTGCACTGAAAAAGGCCAGCTCCGTCCATCACAGAGGAGGATTGTCAAAATGACGCGTCAGCCAAAGCCCATCACTACAGCATCAACTGAACATGTGAGGAGCTTTTAATAAGGGTAATTTCCCTGAGGTGACAGTACCACTGGGCAGGCTTTCACAGAAGGGACATGTTTGAGGTTGGGCTTCAAAGGGAGCATAACTTCTACAGCCCCTTTGAGGTGAATGAACATGATTCAGACTCTGCCCTGTGGTCTTAGTATGTACTCAGTATGAGGGGGTCATCGATTGGGTGGTTGTACCTTGTGGAATAATATCAAGAAGGATACTAAGGGAAATATAATGTTTGTAAATATCCCTTAAAATTGAAATATAAAAATAATATGTTAAAGGATCTAGGCTCAGTGGTAGAGCCAGTGCTTAGTATCAATGAGGGTCTGGATTTTATCCCCAGCACCAAAGAAAATTAACTAGTTCAGAATTAAAAGTAAGAACTGGGCACAGTGGTGCATGCTTGTAAAGCCAGCACTTAGAAGGTGGGGGCAGGAAGGTCAGGAGTTCAATGCCAGCCTTAACTACACAGTAAGGTTAAGGCCAGATAGGGCTACAAGAGGTGGTATCTCAAATAGGCAAGAATAACTTGTAGTAAAGGAATATTCAATCACAGGGTGTACATCACAGTGACTGGAAGATTTCAGTAAAGTATTTTGTTTTCATTAAAAGGACAGTCTCCATATGTCAGCATATGAAGCTCTTCCATGCAGCCCAGAGTCAGGTTATTGAGTGGAAAGTGATTCTGTTGATATCAGAAATTGAATATGAATATGAATCAAATCCTTTCTCCCTCTTATTAGCAGAAAGATACTGTACCAGTACAGTCCTGCCAGCCAATCTGGAGACCCAGGTCTGCATCAGATGGGAACAGATTATTCTGAGCTAGGAGGTTCAGGCTTACCCCTCCCCGCTCCCCTGACCCCTGCCGCCACACACACACACACATACACAGCAGACACTGAAGAATGAATGGCCTCTCACTCTGCCCTCACCTGTATGACAGAGCCTCCGCCGAGGCAGAGCTCTTGGCCTGAGGACATTGACTCTCCTCCCCAGCCTCTTCACTGGACATCCCTCTTCTGCTCTCTGGCCTCTGCACAGCAGCCACAACAGTGCATAGTGGGAGGGCATTAGGATGATGACCCCTGGTCACTGTTGTCCCGCCTCCATCAAAATGAGCAAACATCACTTTTATGAACAACAACAACAAAAAATCACCCCATTGTATTCCATGCTATGCTGTTTCAGAGCTTTTTGAGGCCGTTTTCCAATACAGACCATTTATCCTGTGTTCAGGTTCTTAGAAAACATACTTTCATTTGACCCTGTTAGAGGGTCTTAGCAGAATTCTAATTAAAATATTTGATTTAGAAATGCCTTCTCTTTAGACCTTATTAGTAACCCAATAAACTAAAACATCAAAATGCATTGTTTATTTTGACACTTTGTCAGGTAAAGATACACGGGGGGGAGGGTGGGAAGAACATGATTATCAGAGCTGAAAATGGTGTGCCTTTTTAGGAACCAGTTTGGCATTACAATCTCATGAGCCATAAAAACTGTTTGTATCTCAGCTTCCTGAGTAGTGTAACCTTAAACACTGGCCTAACCAAAGGGATTTAAAATAAGAACAAAGGTTCCATTAGCACCAAAACAGGGGTGGCTCCCCTAGTGTGGGCTGAACGGGCCCATTTACCCATTTCTGCATCACAGAACAGAACAGTATCACAGAAACAAGGGGGAGATTTCCAGCTCTTGTCCATCAATCTCTCCAGGTGTCAAGGAAGAAGGCTGCTGGTCTGGGCAGTATCACCATGGCTCCGCTGCTTCCCAGGGTTACATCACAGGCTAGAAGAAAGCATACATAGGCACGTCTGCTTTTCCTCTGACAGTATTTATACATCAGCAAGTTGACTTCAGTGTTGAGCCGAACCATTTGACCCAGGGCCAGATGCTTAGACGGGGCAGAATGAAGACTATGGGGAAACAGAAAAATAGAAAATTATAAATGTAAAAGGACTTGAACTCCTGGATTCCAGTGATCCTCTTCCCTTAGCCTCTTACAAAGCTGGGGCCACAAATGCATCCCAGCTTATGTATAAAATTTAAATACGAGCTGGGCAGTGGTGGCGCATGCCTTTAATCCCAGCACTCGGGAGGCAGAGGCAGGCGGACCTCTGTGAGTTCGAGACCAGCCTGGTCTACAAGAGCTAGTTCCAGGACAGGCTCCAAAGCCACAGAGAAACCCTGTCTCGAAAAATCAAAATAAATAAATAAATAAAATTTAAATATGACTGTGGTAAAGTGCTTGCCTAGCATGCATAAGGCCTGGGTTCAATCCCCAGTACTGGGGAAGGAAAAAGAAAGCTAAATGAATCAAATTGTAAAATTATACATAGGACATAAACTGTGACCATGCTTTTTAGTGGTACTTAAAACATCTAGTTAAATTTCTAAAACGTAGTGACTTTCATATGAATTATTGAGGCGGATGGCGTGACAAGTAATTTAGATTATCTGTACAAAGATGTCAGACAATAGCCGAGGAGAGTCTGGGAACAAAGCCCAAACTCAGGCTCGGTGATTCTGGGGAACGGTGCTGTTCTTGTTCTAAGAGGAAAGTATTTTCAGCCTAGAATTCCCTGTCCAAGCATGATAGTAGAAAGAGGATTTTTCTGTATGAACACATCTGGAAATGTTTCTCCTCTACAGCCTTTCTCAAGAATGTTCTCCAGGGAGATGGGGTGTAACCCTACAGTTGATCAGAGGTTCTGGGGGATTCCTGGGGCAGGAAGACTTCTTTGAATAATAGAAATGGCTAAGAGCTTCAGAGTTTGAAAAGGAGAAAGCGAGCAGCAATACAAGGACCAGACCCTCTCTGTAGGAGGACAGAAAAGCAGCAGGCTGCAAGGAGTTAGGGATTTCACACCAGCTCCAGGATGAATAAAACAAGCAAAAACCAGATGATGGAGGGGCCGTTCTCTCAGTCAGAGAAGTCACCAGTCAGCACAGACTACAGGAGAAAAGCAAGGAAAGAGTGGGATTCAGTCTCAGCAAGCTGTCCTCTGACTGCCGCAGGCTCACCATGATGTGAGCACACTAACTAAATAGTGCTGTGAGAAAATCACAGCCACCTGGAAGTCGCTACAGGAAATAATGACAAACTAGAAAGCAGTTGTCTTGAGAGTTAGGACCGGGGAAGAAACAGTTTTTCATTTGGTTATATGTAACTACCTTCACGTATGACTTTGGTAGTTTTTTAAAGACTAGGTCTCACTATGTAGCCCTATCTGGCCTCAAACTCATAATCCTCCTGCCTCAGTCAGAAGTGCATCAGTGCCACACCCAGTTTGATTGTCATTTGTGACATTGTGAAGAAACACAACGTGGTGAATATTGTAAATCTTGAAAAGGCCACAAGTGAAACTTTGTCTTTAGTCAGATGTCAGTCAGTGTTGTTTTCCTCAGTGGCGGTCGTAACCTGCTACCCTTGCCTTGCCGAGACAGAGCTGGTCTGCACGGTTGACATGGCATTGCTTGTTTCCTCACAGTGGGCAATCTGCAGTGTCCACGCTGTCCCTGCTCTCATCCCTTGTCTTTGTCTTTCTGATACAGAAACGAAATCTCTTGTTGGCATTTGAAGCAGCTGAAAGTGTGGGCATCAAACCCAGTCTGGTATGTATCCTGTTTTGTACCTTTTTGATACTTTTTTCCTAATTCATGAGAAAGAACTTCCTGCTACCCACTAAACTGATAAAGGATACCCAGGTCCGTTTGCAGATCTGTCCCTCAGGAGTCCTAATATGGTCAGAATTCCAGCTGGCCGGAAAGGATGTATGCTCAGGGGTTTGTTTGTCTCTGTTTCCTTATCATCATCATCATCATCATCATCATCATCATCATCATCATTATTATTTATGTTTGTGGGTGTTTTACCTGCTAGTGGTCTGTGTACCCCATGTCTGGTGCCTGTATAGACCAAAAGAGGTTGCTGGATCCCCTAAAACTAGACTTAGAGATGACTGTGAGCTGCCATGTGGATGCTAGGAATCAAACCCAGGTCCTTTGGAAGAGCTACCAATTCTCTTCATTGCTAAGCCATCTATCTCTCTAGCTCTGGACTCAGAGTTCTTGAAATTAAGATTTCATTATGAATAAATTGCACTTCTGACAAAACAGTGAGCTAAATTGTTATTAAAATTCTCTTGTTCAAATCAACATGCAATCTCAGTGAAATGTCTTTTTTAAAGAAATGTCACCAGGGCATTGTGGCACAAACTTTTAGCCTTAGCACTTGGGAGGCAGAGACAGGCAGATTTCTATGAGTTCAAAACCAGCCTGGTCTACATGGTGAGTTCCAGGACAACCATGGCTGCACAAAGGCACCCTGTCTTTAAAAAAAAAAAAAGTATAGAAAAATAACTACATAGCCGGGCGGTGGTGGCGCACGCCTTTAATCCCAGCACTCGGGAGGCAGAGGCAGGCCGATCTCTGTGAGTTCGAGACCAGCCTGGTCTACAAGAGCTAGTTCCAGGACAGGCTCCAAAACCACAGAGAAACCCTGTCTCGAAAAACCAAAAAAAGAAAAAAGAAAAATAACTACATATCAGAAACATAAAATAAAGTGAAAACCGAAGCTGTGAGTTAAGAATCAGACATTGTGAGAACTGCACCTGCTCCTGGAGAGATGCTGAGGCTTGCCTTGGAGGTGGGGTGGATTAAAAGGCCAGATGAGGTTTGGAACCCAGATTTCTGTCTGGAGCATCTAGCTAAATGGTAGGATGCAGGAAGCACCTATTGTTTAATGGTTACTGAAATATGCACAAGCCAAGATTACAAAGCAGACAGGAACGGGATTGAGTTTTCTAGCCAACAGGTACACCAAATGAGAGTGGGGATTACCTGCCAGAACTGGGGGTAACAAATGTTAACTGTTTAAACCTAGCAGGCAGGTAAGAGGCACTGGGGAGATGGCTCTGTGGGTAAAGTCCGACTGGGCAGGCACAGCAGCATGAGATCTATAGTGCCCTATAAAAAGCCAGGTGTGTAATCCCAGTGCCGGGAGGTTCTTGTTGGCTGTGAGCTCCTGTTGGCCTGAGGGCACCTGTTGCCAAAAGTGGAGAGGGACTAAGGAAGACCTGGATGCCAGCTTTGGACCTCGGCACACCTGTACACCAACACACAGCACATGCACACATACTAAAACGTTTAAGAGAACATACATGGTGGTACATTTCTAATCCTGGTTTTCTGGAGCTGAGACTTCGCGTGGCTCTTGAAGTCAAGCCCAGCCTGTACAACACAGGGACTCCATCCAGCTCCAAAAACGAGAGAGAGAGAGAGAGAGAGAGAGAGAGAGAGAGAGAGAGAGAGAGAGAGAGAGAGAGAGAACAAAGAAGATGAAGAGGAGTAGAAACCAGGGAGGGTCATAGTGCTATAAATATAAGGGAGGGAGATTTAGAAAAGACTCACGTCTGTTCCTGGAGCTGTTTGAGTCGAAGCCTCAGCCCTCCCAGCCCTAACAAGCTAAACTCAACCATCCTCAGGAAGCCATTTAAACAGATAAATAATCATGAAAGCAGGGAAACGGGGGATTTATACAATGTCGCCATACTGGGGACATAGAGGCCCCGTGACCCCTACACGAACACTCCCGGTTCATCTTCAGGGCCCTGACAAGAGGCTTAGACTTAGACAGCGTGCAAGAGACATTTAATTAAGCAGTCCTGGCGTGTCCTCCTGCCAGTCAGTACCCACCACTGCCTAGTGTCAGTCTCCCTGCCAGGTGGTCTCACAAGCTGACAGACTTGTATGGATAGTTCACCAAGACCAGTTCCTTCTCCTGCTGCTGGCGCCAGCCTCCATCCTTCCCTCGTCCCAGCAAGAGATTTCTGGAGAAATTACAATTCCTAGGGGATCAATGTTTAAATAGGCCAATATCCAAAGAGACCTGCACAAGGATCTTTTTAGAATATTTTTGTTACCACCAGGAAGGTTACACAAAGCTATTAGAAATGAAAATTTGGAAGGGGGAAAAGACCATGGATGGGTTGCCAAACTGGTTAGATATAGCAAAGGAGAAAGATGGTGGATTCACAGTAAACATAAGGAAACCATCCCACAGGCTGAATAGACAATGAAGGGTTGAAAACCAGGAGAGAACGTTTATTGGTTAATGTGTATTTAGTTTCTAGAATGGAAAAGCCAACAAACAGCAAGTTTGAGGCCATTGTAGGCTACATGAAACCCTGTCTCAAAAATAAAATACAAATAAATAAATAAATAAATAAATAAATAAATAAATATTATGGAGTGGGAAAAAGAGATAACACTTAGTAGTAATCAATCTGGAATCTACTTCTGGGCTTCCTGTTTACAACAACAATGAAAATCTCATTAAGCAACTGCTAATTGGCTTTCCAGTTCTTGAAGCTTCTTATATAACTTTCAGTATAATTGGTCAAAGGTTATTAATTACTGTTGTTACTTCAGGATGGTTGTAGCTTTAAAATGCCAAGCGTAACCCAATGTATTGTGTGCGTGCGTGTGTGTGTGTGTGTGTGTGTGTGTATGTGTGTAGTGCTAGGCTGGCTTTGATATCACTATGAGAATGACCTTGAACTTCTGATCCTCCTGCCTCTGCCTTCTAAGTGCTGTGTTTGTAGACACGTACCACCACACTATGTGTGGCCAAAGTTTTTTTGTTGTTTTAATCCACATACAATCAAGGAAAAAAGGACAGTCAGGAAAATATAAGCTGAAATAACACTAAGATGTAAGTCTGTAGCCTTCCAAGGCTGGAGGACTTGGAGAAATGTAAAGGGAAGGAGGTGTGGAGACAGCAGCGCTATGAATGATATCATGCCGATATTAAATTGAAACAGAATGGACAGTTAAGTAGCAGCACCAATACCCTTCAAATATCAAATAGAAGTACTCTCTAAACCTTACTCAAAAAGTAGAATGCTAAACATTCAAGAAGTCAAATCCAGTGGAGAAAAGTCTCAGCAGTTAAGAGTGCACTACTCTTGCAGAGGACTCAAGTTTCGCTCTCAGCACCCATGCTGGGCAGCTTACAGCCTTCTGTAACTTCGCTTTCAGGGACTCTGACACCCCCTTTTTTGGCCTCTTCAGTCACCGCACTCTTGTGCAGAAACCTACATTCAAACACACACATATATACATATTCAAGAAATATTAAAGATAAGTCTTAAAAATAAAGTTTTTTGAGTATCTGTATAAGCACATACACGTTTTAGGGTAAATAGATAAGCAAGGAAGATTCCTTCAAAGTGAAGCTCTGTCGTGTACCTCGAGCTTTAGAACACATTCCTGCCCGGCCACCATGAAATGGGCGTCTTAAGCCAACATCATCATCTGGACCAGAAGAATTGGGCAAACACCCGCAGCATCATCGCGATTGCTTCAGAGCAGCTCTGGTGTGTTCTCCAGAGCTAGCCGTCTGTGGCTTGGTGAGGGTTCACTGTGGCCTTAGTCACTTTGTCCGTGACGCACCGCTTACTCGGGGGCCTGTGTAGGGTAGTCACTGCACAAGACTGAACTCCCGAAAGCAGGAGCTCCAAAAGCCTTGAGAGTCCGGAAAGTGAGGTCAGCTACTTTTTATAGTTTTACCGTCTTAATCATTCTAAGTGGTGTGAAGTACCTTCACGCTGTGTAGCAATCATTGCCACCCTCCCAGTGTAAAATTCTTATCTTGCAAAATCGAAACTCTAAATCTGTTAAACATTAACTCCCCACCCCCGCCCTCAGCCTGGCCGCCACTGTTCTGTTCTCAGACTCTGAAAGCTCACCTGTTTCAGACACCCCATGTAAGTGTATTTGCCCGCCGTCTCTGTCTCATGTTTGGCTTATGTGGCATAGTGTAAGGTCCTCAAAGTCTATCTGTTAGAACCTCCTTCCTCATTAAGGCAAATGATATGGTTATACCTTGTTCTGGGTGTCTGTTCATCTGTCCTGAAACACTACAGTGCCACTGTAGTTAAGTTCGTCTCGGCAAATGCTACTGTGAACCTGGGTGCACAAGCGCCTTCTCTCTTTATCGCTAAAGGCCCTTAGAACAACGCCAGGTCGTAGACTGTTTGTAGCAAGTATGTGCAAAGAAATGAATAAAAGAAGAAGCCATACACACTACATAGCAGGAGTACGTGACCAAGAAAAACCACTCGTCTCATGGCCAAATATCAAAAGAAGAAAAGGAAGGGGTGTGGCTCTTGTCCCAGGATCCTTCAAAGACCAAAGGACGGTTCATTAGGCCCCAACTTTCAAAGGTTCTACAGTTTCTCAAGAATATTGATCTAAGCCGGGCAGCGGTGGCGCACGCCTTTAATCCCAGCACTTGGGAGGCAGAGGCAGGCGGATCTCTGTGAGTTCGAGGCCAGCCTGGTCTACAAGAGCTAGTTCCAGGACAGGAACCAAAAGCTACAGAGAAACCCTGTCTCGAAAAAAAAAAAAAAAAGAATATTGATCTAGAAGTGAACACTTAAGTGTATGTGTCCAGCTGTAGTTGAAGCTCTAAGTGCTGTTGTTTAAAGACAATAGGTAGGAAGCTTTAAAACCTTAAATATGAGGCTTTTGGGCTCTGTAGTTGGAAGCATTTATGGCCCTGGCAAAAGACCTGAGTTCGTTTCACAGAGCCCACACAGAGATAGGCAAACCAGAATGTCTGACGCCTTCTTCTGGCTGCTATAGGTGCTGCACACACTGTGTACAGACACACATACAGGCAAATAAATAAACAGATATTAAAAATAAATAAATATTCAAAACATCAAATACATAGATCAAATAAAATATTTTTAAAATCAAAAAAAAAAAGAAGAAGAAGAAGAAGAAGTCATAGTGCGTTTCTAGGTTTTGGTTGGGTTTTGTGTTTTTTTTTTAAGTTTCATTTATTTTTATTTTATGGGTATGAGTGTTTTGCCTGTGTGTGTGTGTGTGTGTGTGTGTGTGTGTGCGCGCACGCGCGCGCGCATGCACACATGGACTCACACCACATATGTGCCTAGTGCCCATAAAGGCCAGAAGATGGCATCCGATTCCCTGGAACTGGAGGTACAGATGGTTGTAAGTCACCATGTGGGCGCTGGAAACTGAACCCAGGTCCTCTGGAAGAGAAGCCAGTGCTCCTAACTGCTGAGCCGTCTCTCCTGCCCCAGTGTACATTTCTAGTGTTCTTTATAAGTTCATCAGCAACACGGTACTAAGGAATTCTTATCCAGTATTTTCAAAGTCAAGTTCATGCTCATTCTGACTGGGGAATTTTTATATTCCATTTTATTTGTTCTGCCTTCACATTGAGTAGGAGAAGAAGATATCTCCTAGATTCAATGCTACCTAGAGCTCCTCTTTATCTCCTGTTCAAAACAACACCTCCATTCACGCATGTGGTGGACAGGCAGAAATACAAGCAGAACACCCATAAAATTTAAAAGAAAAACAAAAACACCTCCAGTGTCTTGTCAGGAACTGCCGTGTGGGCCAGCAAGGTGGCTTGGTAGGTAAAGTTTCTTGCCTGATGGCCTGGATTCAGTCACTGGGGTCCACATGAGGGAAGGGAAGAACTGACTCCTGCAAGTTTCTCTCTGACCTCCACATGTACGCCACGACATGCACCTGTGACACACACAGGCACTCACACACATTGAGTGAGTGAGTATCTTCTGGTAGAATCAAAGAATTATCCATAAATGCTATGTCTGTTTTATGTTATTATAGTGCTTTAACAGCAAGAGTGTTTTGTCGCTTGCCTCAAGTAATGTCATTGTCATTGTTTGGGTTTAGCTGCTTCTGTAGCACCTGTCTCCTTGTTGTGTTTTGTTTTGATTAGTTTTGCTGTGGGGTAGGTCTTTGAGACAGACTTTCACTGCATCATCGAGACTGGCCCTTTCATCTGCTGTATTACACAGGACAAGCAGGAGAGTCCATCTTTGTCTTAGTCCTGATTTGAGGGAGAAAAGCATTGTCTTACACAATTAAGTGAGTTTAGCTATTGGGTTAGGGAGTACATACCCTTTAGTGTATAAAATAAGTTAGCTTCTCTGTTTTGTTTTTTGTCATGAACAGATTCTGAAGTTTGTTGATCTTATTTTTCTCAGTCTGTTAATATGCTAATGTTGATTTAAAAGCATTGAGCCAGCTTTACATTCCTCGGACGAGCCTTATTTAATCATAATACTTTATAGATTAATGAATTCAGTTTTCTAACATTTTTTTCAAATTGCCAGTAGCTTTGTGTCTATTTATCTGAGAAGCTGACGTACAGTTTTCTTGTAGTGTCTTTGTCTAGCTCTGGTTGTAGGCTAGCCTCACCTCACAGGATGAGTTGCAAAACATTCTCTTGTCTTCCGTTTTTGGAGACTAAATAACTAATATTAGTTCTTCTATGTGTGTTTGGTGAAATCATATTGACCTGGGTTTGGGCTGTTAACTGTTAATTTAAGTAAATCTCATGTGTGGTGAAATTATTACTAAGACAGCCTCCCTCCCTCCCCTTGAAACATGCAAAACATTTCTTCAAAGATTTTCAGATGTGGTGTTAATAATGTAACAGATATTTTTGATTCAGTAATTGCTAATATGAAATGGACTGAGTTAAACTGTGACTAGTAGCTGTACTTCCAACTTGTCTGAAACTAAAGACCTCTTCCTCTACAGAAAGGAAAGTTTTCAGTCCCTCTTGAGTTCCTAGGCATGTCTTCAGGCTGCCCTTCCTTCTCAAAGCTCACCTGCCTCCCAATCAGCACTGTTCTCTGTGTAGCCCAGGCTGTCCTAGAGCTCACTGTCTAGACCAGGCTGACCTTGAATTCAGAGATCCCCCTGCCTCTGCTTTCCCACTGGACTCTGTCACTCTTTATCATGTGTCCCTGCTGTCATTAGCAATCTCTGCTCTAAGACTTCATTTTTTTTCTTTTAAGAATGTTTCTGGGCAGACTTGTGTGTGGAAGGTCCGTCTCTCTTGCTTCCTTTGTGCCCTTCCTGGCAGGTCAGATCATGACGTGCTGATCATTTTAGCCTGACTGGGGAGCAGAGCAGGAGAGAAAAGTCAGATGTTAACTTGTGACTGGTCGGCAGGATTTACCAGGCACAGATGTGCTCTGTTCAGCCTCTTTTTCCTTTGCACCTCTGCTTCTGGCTCATGTTTGGTTACAACCACAGCAGACTCCACATCCGATCCCAGCGTTAATAATTAAGCGTCTTCTAGAGAGCCGGGCGCCTATCCTTCCCACCTGCCTTATCACTGTTGGCCTGGCCTTACGTGCAAAATTAGCCCCCAACAGGTAGTAAATTAATAAAACTAAATAAATAGAAAAAAATCACTCAACTAGAGGGGGAGAGAAAGAAAGGAAAGAAAAAAAAAGCAAAGAAAGAAAAGCCCATATGCTAAGAGATATTAACCCTAGTAAAGCACATGGTTTAAGTTGGCTCAAGGTGTCGGTGGTAACCCCATGACTAGCTCTCCAGGAACTAATTTGACATTGCGAAGTGCAATGTATTGGAAGTGAAGGGACACTACGGATAGCGCACACCCACGGAAGTACAGTTGTGTGGGAAATCCTACACAAGAATGCCCATGGGAAAGACACGGGATGTGTGAAAGCATGCCCACTGTGGTGGGAGCCTAGGAAACTGGGCTTACATTCATATGCACATTATTAAACCAGAAGCCTTCTGATGTGGAAGCTCAGGTGACTGTAAAAAGCTGTAATGAAAGTAATAGGAAGTCCTGTCTTTGGTCTTTGAAAGGGACATACCCTCCCAGGAAAAGCTGCTAAGAAGCCTAACTCAGCACATTAGCATGGCCTGTGTTTGCCTACACTTTGGTTCCTGTTAGTGGAAGGTAACAATCCTGATTGGTACCAATCAGTACCAATCCTGTCCTGGATCAGAGTCACTTGGTAAAAGGGGACTGAGATGTCTGTCTTGTGCTGTCCCCTTCCCCTGCAGGAACTCAGTGAGATGCTGTACACAGACCGGCCCGACTGGCAGAGTGTGATGCAGTATGTGGCCCAGATCTACAAGTACTTTGAGACATAAACAGAAGAGCCAGCATCAGCAGCTGCCGCATGGCCTGAAGCTCATCCTGAAGCGCCTGCTCACTGTCCACCATGCCTGCTGTGCCCACCATCTAGCCGTCTGGACCAGCACTCCACTGAGAAGCAGAGGTGGCTCCACCGTGTCCCCATCTCAGATGCAAACATGTCTGGAGCCTATGCTCAGGAATCCTTGTTCCCAATGGGAAGTTTTTAGAGAGGCAGGCCCCGCTTCTCGCACAGTGGGTTCCAAACCCAGGCCCTCTTCTGTGAGACTCCAGAGTGTTGCCAGTCCCATTTGCTGCCCACACATGGCCTACACACTGACAAACAGCACTTCAATCACCGTGTCTTTTTTTCTTCCTCCTCCTTTACTAAAACTTTGCTTTTTTTTTTTTCAAAACTCTGTCCTTACCAGCTGCTTGCCCACCCCCACCAATAAAACAACACTCCACAAAACAGAAAAACAAAAGCAGCTTTTGCTTCTTAGCAACCTGGAAACACACTGATTAGGGAAATAGTATGTCCAGTTCTATGTAACTGAGAACTTAAAGGCACTGCATAGATCTCGCCGTCCCTATTTGATTTCTCGCAAGTGCAAGGAGCACTTAGGTACCTTGCTGAGGGTGCATGAGAGGCCAGCTGGCTTGCTCCTTAACCACAGGGCCTGAGCACAGCACTGGTATCTTGGCTGATGAGATCCGTGACCATTGCACATAGACCCTTCTGCCCTGCTGTTTACAGTCTCATTTACACACATCTTGGCCCAACACAGAGCTCCACACAAGTCTGACGTGTGTGGAGCAGCCTGTGATGGCGAGCTCTGCACATTTGCACAGTTCCGCAGGTTGGGAGGTGTGCCCCTTAGGATTCTGGGTGGACAGAAATATAAACATGTTTTGGCTCCAGACAGGTTTGGCCCTTGGTACTTGTTGGGCCTTTTACATGTGCCTATTGGAAGAAGCTATTAGGAGCGTAAGGGTGACTGTCCTCCAATGCCCCGTTGGTTCCCTAGGAAGCAGCACAGCCCCTCCCTGAGTATCCAAGCCAAGTGGCCCTAGACCAGTGGTTCCCAACCTTCCTAATGCTTGGAGTTCCTCATGCTGTGGTGACCCCAACCATAAAAGTATTTCATTGCTATCATAACTGTAATTTTGCTATTGTTATGAATTGTAGTGTAAATATCTGATATATAGAATTCTGATATGTGACCCCACACAGTCTGAGAACCACTGCTTTAGAAGCGTCTTTCCATTTTTCTTGGACAAATGTGCACTTCATAGCAAATGAGCACGCCCCTTTCTCTGACAGTTGGGTGCGCACAAACACCCATTACTGTTCTAAGTGCCAAATAACCCTAGACTGGTCCTTTGAGAAAGGACCACGCTCATAGCAACCCCTGCGAATGACCACCACAGCTACAATGAATCTCTGCCTGCTTGTCTGAGCCGCTCTGCTGGCCCAGCCCTATCCTTGGAGGACCTAAGTTCTGCCCCTCCCTCCAGTCCATTGCTCTGATAAGTAGCAGCTGGGTGCAGCAGCGCTGATTCTCGAGCTAACGTAACCTCGTGGGGCCACAGACTCCACCTGTAGGCTCCATCTGTAGTTCTTAGCTGTAGCTCAGGGCCGATCCCCTGGGACTCCTGGGAACTGCATGCCTGACTCTCGCATCAGGTGAGTTAGGATAACTGGAACAAAGCAGAGATGCAGTCTGCACATGCTCACAGTTCTCCAGAACTGATGGGCAGCCACGCAGAGAGGGAGGACACTACTCCCTGCCCCTTGTTCTCCCATTAGGAGCTCCTTCATTTCCAGGTGGAAGATGAGGGCTCAGAACCTCCTTGCTGATGAATGTGTCTCCGAAAGCTGGTACTTGGGCTGCCTCCCATACCCGTTGTGTTGACATAATTGATGCTGTACCTCCCCCCACCAGTTGTCTCCAGTCTGCTTTGCCCAGCCATCACAGCAGGGTGGGCAGGAACACTGTCCCACACAACTGGGTGTCGTTTCTTCAGGGGTGATCTCTGGAGCTGTGTAGGAGAGGCCACAGTTAAGGCATGAGAGTTTGGTCTGTCTCTGGTTGTTTTTAGGATGCTAAGAATCTGGGAGCTCTCAGCAGAGCAGCCTCCGTGCTGGTCTCCAGACGCCTTACAGTGGCTGTAAGTAGAGGCACTTTGGGGCCCCAGGTCGCTGTGGACCGGCCAGCTGCATCTGTTCTTGTCCGTTTTCTGCTTGGGGTTTCTCTTGACTGCTGCAGGTCTTGCCAGGGGCGTCGGAGAGGAATGGCATACAGGTACTGCCAGGCAGAGGGTATCCATGACCGATAGAGCTCCAGTTCTCTGTCAAGATGCCACACTACTGCATGTGGAGGTGCAGGGTCTGGGAAGATCTCCAAGTCACAAAAATGAATGTGAGAAACTGACCAGCTAAGAACAGAAGCATGGCGGTGGAGGCAGGGGTGCCTTACTTTTTCTTGTTTTTGTTTGTTTGGTTGGTTGGTTTGGTTTTGGTTTTTTTTCGTTTTGTTGTTGTTTGTTTTGCTTTGTTTTGGGTTTTGTGAAACCGGACCTCCTGTCGCCTGTGCTGGCCTTGAACTCACGGTCTTGCTGCCTCTGTCTCCTGGGTGCTGAGATTAGATACCACACCCAGCTTTGGTGCTTAGCTCCTGCTGTTTTCTTTGTGTCTCTGCAAGCCATCATTCAGAGGATGCTGGAGGCCTCCATAGCCATGTTTCTTCCCATCTGCCCTCAGCTAAAGAGATCTGTAAAATGCAAGACCCTGAGAAGTTAAGACACGTAAAGAAGTCTGGCTCTCAGCACTGCTTGGTGTCTGACGGCAGGTGGTAGCACTAAGGCCGCTGCCCACAGTGGCAATATTCCAAGGCGCATCCATCTTCCTAGTCCTTCTCACTTCCGCATCCATACTTGTCCTTGATTCTCATTCTTCATCCAGTTGTTCCTCAGATTCTGTAGACCATCCAGAATACAAGCCATGGCTAGAAGATAGAAACCCAGGTAGTGCGGCTACCTGTGGCTTCAACTATTCTGGAGATGGAGATGGGAGAATCAGTTGAGCCTGGAAATTTGGGATTAGTTGGCAGAGAGTGTGGGGCTATCCCAAAGCAATCAGCCATCTAGCAATATTGAATATTGGCCATACTGTCTTCCTGTCTCCCATGAGCACCAGCCACATGTCAGTCTCTGACCTCTCTGTCCCCTGCAAACCTGTCCCTGGATGATGGAAATGGAGACCCTTAGGGACAAACCCACTCACCAAATCCAGCAGTTCCTGAGTGTTCTAGTTTGAGATGCCCTACTGCTGGCACCAGTGGGAGAGAGAACCCCCAGATTATTGAAAAGAAGTTTTCCCCAGCATCTGCTGAAGCCCCTGGGCATCTAGGTCCTCCGACAAGGTTGGAGTTCTGACTGGAACCCCCTGAGTAGCTCACTGACTTTAACTACATTAGTTGAATGCACTCGATATACCTGTGGCCTCCTTTCCCTCAAGAGCACACTAGACAGCACCTAGCACTGCCCAGACGTGACATACTGTCAGAGGTGGACAGGGCTCCCAAGGGTAAGGTGTGCCACTGTGTACGATTTCTAATAAATATATTTTGTTTCTATCTCAGTTTGATTCTTTCACCCACTGACGTCAATCAGCATTTTTTTTTTCAAAGCACCAAACTTGCTTTGAGTCAGCTTAAAGCCCTCTCCCTGCCGTTCTTGTCACTTTGCAGTCCCGTCCACAGCTGCCTTGCGATGGCCACAGGTTGTGGGTCATCTTCCAGGACCCGGATGCTGCCAAGCTGTACAGATGTGCATAAGATGGAAGTAGGCTGCTTGGACCCTGGGAACTGCACACAGTGTTGTTAAAAGTTATGACAAGGTTGAAGAGACACCTTAATAATAAAAAATAATAAAAAATGCAACAGCGAGTAGAGCATGACGGTGGCTCTAAGCATCCGCTGGAAGCCACCATTCCTAGGCTACAGGCCACAGAGGAGGACGGCCACCCTAGAATCTTTATTTCTCTTTCCTCTCAAGTGCCTGGCCTTCTGAGGGCCTCCACACCTGCTCAAGGTAATGGTCACTGGTGAGACTTATTACCAAATCCTGGGCCGGCTTAGGGCCGCCATTTCCCTCTCAGTCTCAAGGGGCAGGAAATGTCGTGCCAGGTGATACCAGGCCTTGTTTGTTCAACATCTGATTGTCCTGTACCATCTTGAGTGCCCAGTACCTTGGGCTGTATACACGTGTGCATCCCTGCCGGCTCATGCATGAGTCGGCCTTTCACAGATGGCCAGGTCTCCATATTTGGGAATGGTCTTCATATTTGCTGGTCTCTGAGACTCATCAAACAAGTTCTGTCCTATGGATGCGGCTCTCTGCATGAATGGAGCACCAATCATGGGTGTTCCATGACTGGGCCACTTGACACATGCACTTTACAGATGGGGGAACCTGGGTCCAGACTCCCCATGCAGCTGTCTTGGGCAGTTTCTGTTGGCACCACACAATACCACAAACTGGGCACTTTTCTAAAGAACAGAAGTTTATTTCGTTCTCAGTTCTGAAGCCTGGACCCTCTAAGAGCTCAGCACTGGTGTCTGGGAAGATATTCTTGCCACATTGTGACTTCGCAAAGGATGAGAAGAGACAGAGTGAGCATGCTAACCCTAGTCCCCAACTCTTTTGAAGCCACCAAGGCCACCATGGAGAGCCTGACCCTCATGACTCAATCCCAATTACCTCCAAAACCTGCTAACGATGAACTCTGGCCATGAAGTTTCTAGCACTTTGGAGATACATTTAAGCCACCGCATCAGTGACAGAAAAGGCTCATGGGTTAGCAGAATTAAATGAATGATCAGCATGGACTGCTCTTAGCGGCCCTAAGCACAGAGCCGTGGGCCGCCAGCCGCCTTCTCTCTGCTGGGTGAAAAGGGCTTTGCTCTTAGGCTGTGTAAACTTCCATCTGAGCTCCTTGAGGGCCAAGTGCAGGTTTCTGTGCTTGTGATTCCTCAACCTAAGGGGCAGTGAGTGCTTATACCGGTCACTTGATTACTTGGTCCAGTTGCCGGTTACTCACCCTCTGACTGGGAGGTCAGTTCTGGGAATGAACACCACAGGATTCCAGCCTGTGGCCCATCTTGTGAACAATCTCTTCCAGCATTTTCCAGCTCAGTGATAAGTAGGAAAAGCCTTGGGGAGAAACTTGAAACCTGACCTCCCCAAGGCCTTATCTTTCCTTTTTCCTTTAATAGTATTACGTCTGGTCTCATGAATGAAATGACTTAATACAGGGCCTTGGAGTCTTCTGGGCTCTTTAATTGAATTCATTTTAACTTAATTCACCTGCTTAAGTGAGATTTTTTTTCTAGATCATGAAAAAGAAATCCATAAATAGATTTGCCTAGGACCCTTTAGACAGCTGACCATTGGGCCCACCAGCCCTTCCATTTGTCCATCCGGGCTGCTATTTATATCCTCTGTAGTGTGGCTGTTTCCCTTGTATCTGAAAAATGAGGCAAAACAGAAAGTGGGGCATGGGAAAAGTTTTCCTGCGACATGTGACTTCGGAAGGCTTGGCCACTGTCCAAGGAGGCTGGTCCTAGAAAACATCTGTCTGGAGAGGGACCTCATCCTGAGAAAGGCAAAGTCTTACCACCTGGAGGATCAGACCAGGAAACAGATGTGTCGCAGAGAGAAGGGAGATGTATCTTATTCATCCTGCCTTTCAGACTCGTCTGTGCCCACAAATCCAGCTGTTTTTGTTTAGGGGAAGGAAGAGGCCTGTCTTGGGTCACCTGTGTAATCTGCAGCCATGTGCCCAAAGTGACCATGTGGTTGTTTTGTCCCCTTCAGCAGCCCTGGGTGTGGCTCGGTGTTGGGTACACTCCTCCCTGAGTGTGACTTCAATGTTCAGAGCTTTGGGGTGTAACAGGCTGTAACTGCAGATCAGCCCCATCCAGCATTCAGCCCGTCTTGGAGAGCATGGCTGTGAGAGGCCCCCTTGAAGGAATTTTACAGATGTTCGCAGTGCTCCTCTGGGGATGCTGTGTGATGCCTTTGCTGGGACTTCCTGTTCAAAAACAACAGAATCCCTACCTAGTGAGGGCTAGGAATGAACTCTCCCACCTTCATAGGGCCAAGTTCAGATCTTTGGAGCCCAAGGAAATGCTTCCTGGCTGGTTTTCCCGTGGCCAGGAGTCCAGGGACCACACCACTGACATGGCTGTTGGTGTTAGTATGTGTTGTTTGTTGTTGCTGTAACGAATTGATGCAGTCAACACACATGTTGTCTTACAGTTCTGAAGGTCAGGACACACAACCCAAGCAAGACTTGCTGGGTGCCATACTTTGGGACTTGAATATTTTTCAAAGGTCAATTGGTTAAAAACTTGTTCAGGAACCTCTTTAAGAGGTGGAGCCTTGTGGGAGGAAGTTAAGTACTTGGGGATGTGTCCTTCCAGGAGATCCTGAGACACTGACCCCTTTCCTGTGTGTTTTCCAGATGCTATGAAGTGAACAGACCTCGTGCATCACACACTTTTGCCACGGTGTGCCAAATCACCCCACTGCAGGGCCAACCACAGGGCCAAGTGACTGTGGACCAAAACCCTGGAAGCATTTCTTTTAAGTTCATTTTTTCAAGTATTTTGTTGCAGCCATGGGAAACTGGAGCCAAAATGACCCCAGCAGATAGGGTGATATTCCCTTCTGGGGGCCTTGGGTAAGGATTGTTTCCTTGCCTTTCCCAGCCTCCCACATTCCACAGATTGCGGCCTCATCCTCTGTCTTCAAGTCAGTGTGTGTTGAAGCTTTTGGCCATCCGTTTAAGCTGTTCAAACTAACTCTTTCTGATGTTTTGTTTTTGTTTGTTTTTTGAGACAGGGTTTCTCTGTGTAGTCTTGCCTGTCCTGGAACTCACGCTGTAGACCAGGCTAGCCTCGAACTCACAGAGATGGGCCTGCCTCTGCCTCCCAAGTGCTGGGATTAAAGGCGTGCACCACCACCGCCGGGCTCCAAGCCAACCTTTTTATGGCAAATCTTTAGCAGTTTAGAAAAGCCTCGCTGCAGAGGGACACCAGTTTGCTGCTGTTATTCACGGCTGCGTCTCCTCCTGGCTCTCTGCAGCTAGGGAGACTCTGGCTTTAGAGTCCTGTGGGTAGAGTGGGGCTATCCAGACACTCTGTGACTGACTCTTCTCATCTCACAACCCTGCTAAACTTAACCACATGTGCAGTCTCTCGCCTTGAGGAACCAGTGGGGCAGCTCTGCACACCACTGTCATGTTTCTGTCTCCTCTCGTTGACAATGGTAGAATCTTTATTTCCAGGGTATATTAGAGTTCTCTAGAAAAACAGGACCGGGGGTGGGGGGGAATTAGATAAGGAATGGGCTTGATTTAAGGATCAAGCCCCTATGATTATGGAGGCTGACAAGTCCCATATTGCCACCAGCAAGCTAGAGAGAGACCCAGGAAGGCCTGTAAGTCAAGAGACAATAGTGCTGACTCCAGCCCAAGACCTAGGAGCACCAAGGGCTAGACACGGATATCCCAGCTCAAGTGGTCAGCACAGAGAGATTCGGCCTTTGGGGACCATTTAGGCCCTTGCCCACACTGGGCAGGCATCTGCTGTGCTCAGTGTGCCAATCCAAATGCCCTCGTAGGCACGCTCAGAAATAATGCCTTACCATCGTGACCTGGTCCAATTGATACATAGACTTAACCATCGCAACAAAGAGCTAGGCTGGTCCACTGTCAGGCTTCCCCGCCCTTCCTATGCCTGCAGCGTTTTTCTCGGAGACCTTTCCTCAGCTCAGTAGCCAGCTGGCGGTTGCCACTTTCCCTGGGCCTTGTGCCCACCTGTGACCAAACACCTGGGGTAGGATAAATGTGGCCTCCTTAAGAATAAGCCATGCTCTTGCATCCTGGAACTGTCTCCCTCCCAAGGCACTGCTGAATGCTGATGCATTTCCTGGTCGGGATTCGGCCTCCTAAACAACCTGCCTTCCTGGAACTGGAGCCTTGTGTAACTAGCTACAAAACCAACACCGTGGGAGTGAGCAAGTGATTGGTTTGAAACACTTGGGACACCAGTGAGCACGGTGGATACTAGATCATTTGACAGATGAGCAAACAGAGGCATACAAAGGTTAAATAATTTGTTTACGGTAACTTAGCTTGAAGGAAGCAAAGCAGAAAGTTAAACCTACGCCATCTGGTATCAAAGCCTGCACGCCTGGCCACCGCCATAGTCCACCATCGTCCATCATCATCAGGTACCCGCAGCAAAAGAAGCTTGTGTCCGAGGCAGTTGGTGCTCCCCAGGTGATGCTATGCGATGCTTTTCCATGACTTCTCGTTTGCAAACAACAGAATTCCTACCTAGGGGCGGCTAGAAATGAGTTCTCACCTTAAGATCTCAGACAGAGTTTGTGCATAGATTTGGTTTTCTAATGGCAGACTAAACCAGGATCATGGAATTTATGTCCCAAATCCTCAGCACAGCTCAGATGCTTTTCTAAGATCCAGCCTTCAGCCCTTGGGTTCTGTCACATTGACAGAGACAACATCACATGCCCC